TTATGCTATAACATCACGTGAAGTCGTCAAATACGACTTTGAAATGCATTGGGATGAGCATAGCAAGGGAGCTATTTGCGTTGTTTATCAAAATTGGAAGAGCTTGAATTTCATCTATATTATAAATCCTAAAAAGTACCCCGCCGCCGTGTGCGACGTAGTCACTTTGTAGCGCTTATTGCGGCGGCGTCCGTTGAGCTACGGCCGTGAAATTTTACAGCGATGTGGGCCACCTTTACACGTAGCTCGTATTAATTTTTGGGCATGATGCGGCCGGGGGTGCGCCCTTGGCGCGTGCTCGCGTGCCCATAGGGTTAACATTAGAATAGGCAAAAACACGCTATTGCTCGGGAACGGTAAGGGCTACGGGGGTGAAATTTTCAAGCCAAGTCGGACGCGTGCACTCATTTGTCGTATTCAATTTTCGAGGGGGTGGGTTCAGCGGTGTGCACGTGGTGGAGCCGCGACCGGCGCCGAGCAGAGGGCACGTGCTTTAGGCTCAGTTGTTCGCTTAGAAAACTGAGTGAAAAGCATCAGAGCCAACGAAGGCCGACACAAGGCACCGCTCGCCAAGGGGATTCGCCAGTAAATACAATTAATTTGTTTTTGCAATATCTCAGCCGTTTCTGGGCCGATTTAGCTGAAACTTGGACTGTCGGTGGAAGTGTAGTGTAGGGTAGGGTAGGGTAGGGTAGGGTAGGGGATTGTAGGGTAGGGTTGGGTAGGGGATTGTAGGGTAGGGTAGGGGATTGTAGGGTGGGGTAGGGTAGGGTAGGGTAGTGGATTGTAGGGTAGGGTTGGGTAGGGGATTGTAGGGTAGGGTAGGGTAGTGTAGGGTAGGGTAGGGTAGAGTTAAGTAGGGTACAGTTAGGTAGGGTAGGGGAGGTAGGGTAGGGTAGGGTAGGGTAGGGTGAGGGTAGGGTAGGGTAGGGTAGTGTAAGGGTAGGGTATGGTAGGATAGGGTAGGGTAGGGTAGGGTAGGGTAGTGTAAGGGTAGGGTAGGGTAGGGTAGGAGTAGGGTAGGGTAGGGTAGGGTAGGAGTAGGGTAGGGGTAGGGTAGGCCAGGGTAGGGGTAGGGTAGGCCAGGGTAGGGTAGGGTAGGGTAGGGTAGGGTAGTGTAAGGGTAGGGTAGGGTAGGGTAGGGTAGGGTAGTGTAAGGGTAGGGTAGGGTAGGGTAGGGTAGTGTAGGAGTAGGGTAGGGTAAGGGTAGGGTAGGGTGGGGTAGGGTGGGGTAGGGTAGGGTAGGGGTAGGGTAGGGTAGGGGTAGGGTAGGGTAGGGTAGGGTAGGTAGGGTAGGGTAGGGTAGGGTAGGGTAGGATAGGTAGGGTAGTGGTAAGGTAGGGTAGGGTAGGGTAGTGTAGGGGTAGGGTAGGGTAGGGTAGGGTATGGTAGGGTAGGGTAGGGTAGGGTAGTGTAGGGGTAGGGTAGGGTAGGGTAGGGTAGGGTAGGGTAGGGTAGGGTTGCGTTCAGTAACATCCTAACTTACAAAGGGCTCGAACAACTCGCATGCATCACCATCATACTTTACAGTTCAATTAAAAGCAGTTACCCAGTTCTACAAAAATCATACCAATAAAAATGCAAGTTTCTACACCCAAACTAATGCATCCGTTAATCATACATATCAAAACATACAGTTATCGCGTAAACCTGTACCTCTAGTCTATATTATAAATCCTAAAAAGTACCCCGCCGCCGTGTGCGACGTAGTCACTTTGTAGCGCTTATTGCGGCGGCGTCCGTTGACCTACGGCCGTGAAATTTTACAGCGATGTGGGCCACCTTTACACGTAGGTCATATTAAATTTTGGGCATGATGCGGCCGGGGGTGCGCCCGCGGCGCGTGCTCGCGCGCCCATAGGGTTAACATTAGAATTGGCAAAAACACGCTATTGCTCGGAAACGGTAAGGGCTACGGGGGTGAAATTTTCACGGAAAGTCGGATGCGTGCACCCATTTGTCGTATCAACTTTTCAAGGGTGCGGGTTCAGCGGTGTGCACGTGGTGGGGCCGCGACCGGCGCCGAGCAGAGGGCACGTGCTTTAGGCTCAGTTGTTCGCTTAAAAAAAACTGAGTGAAAAGCATTAGAGCCGGCAGGTCATTGACCTTTGACAACGAAGGCCGACACAAGGCACCGCTCGCCAAGGGGATTCGCCAGTAAATACTATTAATTTGTTTTTGCAATATCTCAGCCGTTTCTGGGCCGATTTAGCTGAAACTTGGACTGTCGGTGGTAGTGTAGTGTAGGGTAGGGTAGGGTAGAGTAGGGTAGGGTAGGGTAGGGTAGGCGGGCGGGCGTGCGTTGCGGGCGTTTTTTTGCGGCGGTATTTGCGTTTTTTGCGGTGTTTGTGTTTGGCGGCGGGCGGGCGGGCGTTGCGGGTGTTTTTGCGGTGTCTGCGTTTGGCGGCGGACGGCCGTTTTTTGCGGCGGTTTGCGGCGGGCGGCCGTTTTTTTGCGGCGTTTTGCGGTTGCCGGCGGCCGGCCGTTATTTGCGGTGTTGCGGTTTGCGGCGGGCGGCCGTTTTTTGCGGCGTTTCGCGGTTGGCGGCGGGCGATGCGGGCTTTTTTTGCGGCGGCGGTGTTTGCGTTTTTTTTTGCGGTGTTTGCGTTTTGCGGCGGACGGGCGTTTTTTGCGGCTTTTTGCGTTTTTCTGCGGTTTTCGACGGGCGGGCGATTGTTTCTTTTTTGCGAAGTTTGCGTTGGCGTTTTGCGTGTTTTGCGGTGTTTGCGTTTTGCGGCGGGCGGGCGGTTTTTCACAATTCAAGTCCCAACCTTCGGATCCGCAGAGCTGTTCGACAAGGCCCGGGCCCGCCTTACAGTTTAATTAAAAACAGCTACCCAAATCTACCCAAATAATACAGATAAAAATACAAGTCAATCACCCAAACTAATGCACCCGTAACATAACATAAATCAAAACATACAGTTATCGCGTAAACCTGTACCTCTAGTCTAAGTTAATCTTCACATAAACCGAGCATTGAGAAGATAGCTATCAGCATACTTATATATCGCATGCCCTATCAGCATACTTATATCTCGCATGCCGAGAAGCATGTCAGTGATCTCAGTGCGCAGGTATTCATCCGAAGTGAAATCAGATAATGCATTTACGCTCCGCCTGCAGCTAGTCATATATTCACCCCTCAACCTTCAGTATTCCTGGTTCATCTCAAAAGCATGCCATTCGTAAACACGTAACTGTTATGTCTTGCCTTCACCTTGTTTAGAGCAAGGTTCAGATGCAAATCACGATTGTTGAACCGGCCCGAATTCCAACACTCGCCAACCCACGACACCATACCTACTCCCCTCAGGAATGCAATCAGTCTGATAACGGACAGCTACTGGCTGTAGGTGAACGCGACCTTCGCTGTATGACGTCACCAGGGCGAGGGTGGCTGATCGGTAGCCGGAATCTCCCGGTGGCCTCTGATGACGTCACGACTTCTGGGTCGGTACTGCTGGCGCTACTGGCGAGTTATTGGAGTAATTATCCCACTCCCGACTGAAATACGGCATCCGTGAAAGATTGAGAGATGAGAGGCAGCCAACGGGGATTCGGTGAGGGAATTGAAGTGGCCAATGGGCTGTCACCTGTCCCGACTTCACCTCAACGTTTTGCTGGCTTGAGAGCGTTACCATGCCACGAGGCTCACGGGTTCCTCCAATCTAATTAAGTTTACCTGTGTGTAATTATTTTTTCTCGACAAGAGCATTCAACCGCTTAAGCGAGCTCTCCCTATTTCGTTTCCATGCCACATAATATCCATTATCCCCATCGAAAGGTCAATGCCGTCCCTTTTCGTATTCGTGTCCCGCTGCATGGTCTGGTAGCTGAAATTAGTGTCACCGAGTCGAGACCTGCTCGTGAAGTGCAAAGAACGCAGCTGCACCGTTCTTGATTGCAGTCTCGTGACGCAAAAATCCCGTCCCCTGCAGCGGGCTCTTCGGTAGATCACGAGCAGGGAAAGACTCTGGTGGAGAACTACGCCACAGACTGGTCAGCAGCATGGCTGCATGAGGCAATGCCTCCTCCCCCTTCCACCGCGTGTTTCTCGGGATAAGCTCGCGAGCTGGCGATGAAGGTTGCAAAATGCCGTCAAGTAAAATACCTGAGCGCTGTCTAGGGGCCGCCTGACCGTCAAGGAGCCCGGCGTCTCGCGCAGGGTTGGCCAACCCGTCGTCCTCGGCTGGACGGTGGCGGGGGAGTAGCGGACCGCGCTCCCGGTGGTCGGTCATGTTTAGTCAGTACTCGTGATAGCTGACCCAGTTCCAGATATACCCACTGACCTACTGTTTGTATCCACGGCCTTAATTCGACATGCAGTAAACGGTGTTCATAGCAAGCAATTTGCTAAATGGCTCATTGATACTTAAAACTTTAACTGCACCTAATAAGAGCGTAATAGAAGGATCATTTGCCACGCAAGGACGCTTAATATTCGTGTAAATAACTATTTACTTCCTTGATCTCATCGATACTCCGCTAAGCCGAGCTTAGAAGGGTTGCATGTGATTTAAGTGCCTTTTATGCTGCCTGTTTTCGAGCAGGTATAGCCAGGTACCTAATGTTTTCGGACTTCCTCCTTCTTCAGTCCGTAATTTTATGTTGCCTCTGGTATTTGCCAGAGGTAATAAATGGTAATAAATGGTTACCATTTAATGGTTCCTTTAATGGTTCCAGGCTCTGGTAATAAATGGTTCCTGCGAAGTAAAAGGAGTGCTCGGACGTTCCGAAAAAAATGTACGTCTGGATCGTTTGCGCACATGTATAGGCGCTAATGTCGCACCACCTGCCAGTGTTGGCAGGCATCTGCCAGAGACGTCAAGAACATGAAAATGCCGTGAGATTCGGATTACTTTCTCCTTCGCCGGATGCACCTAGGAATCGCACAATCTCGGCAGCCAACGACCCGGTGTCACGACTAATGAAAGATCAGACTCGGCTCCGACCACGCTGGCTTGCCCTCTGCGCAGATACTCCGGGCAAAATAGCAATTAAGTCACTTTCGCTATATTTTGCGAACAGCTAGCGCACAACAACAAGCCGCAACAAATAGCTGACTAGACACATCCACCTCAATCTCGTTACATAACACTTGTAGGCGCATATATCATCAGCACCTCTCGGTAATATAATATGCGGCTGTCTGCCGGTCACCTTCACTTTTAACACAATAACCAACCAGTCATATTTGAGCCTGTGTGCTCTCCTGAATATCAGCAACTGGCTCATACCGCCCCACTCCACCGCTGCACTTCAGACGCGAGATTCTGGTCCACACTCGTCAAGTAGTCAGACTCGGCGAGCTAAATCACTTCGGATCCATGCCTCTCTCTAAGAGCGAGAGAGACGGGACCGAATCGCTACCGCCTTATATCCGGCCAGTTCTGTGCCGGGTCCGGATCCACGGATCCGTGACTGTCTTCTGTCGGAGCAGGGATCCAACGGCTCTGACGCTCGGTAACCGCCAGGTCGGCTGTACCCGACGTGAAGTTACCCCTCAATCCGGCAAGGTGTTGGTGTTTCACAGCGTCAGATCTTGCCCCGGCGCGACCTGGGTTTATCCTCTGTGGCGGGTCCGTCCTTATTATGGTGAACGGAGCCGCCAGAAGATTGTCTGAAACAGCCAGGAATGCAGAACTGTGACGCACGGTTCCTCGAGAATGTCTCAAGAATTAACGGTGGTGTCGGGTCGCGGATAGTTAACACTCGACCCAAGTCGCCAATTTTCGGAACGCGCCTAGTCTAGTTGAAAACGAGTTACGTTGGTGATACCCTGAAAGCAGTTTACTAGCCGATGAACTGATGCGTCGCCCGAGCGCGTCACATCTATGAAACCGCCCGGGAAAATTCCGGTCAGCTTTGCGCACTACATATGCGATCTTTCACAGATTTGCGTGCCGGTTCAGCCGTCTCTATTCTGACACTCAACACAATAAACCGACCGAGACTCGCAGCTCGGCGCAAACCTTGAGACGCCTACAAACGCCGACTCTCTTTCAGACAGACGAGCCTCAAGAAACAACATTTTTCTCTCACTATCTATTCTGATAACATCTCTCTCACGCGGACAACGAGCTCAACTCCGCTCCGAACAAATCTCCTCAGTCATTCCATCTCAACCACACACCCAATGATATACATGCGGACAGCGGCGAGGCTCACCTTTGGTTCCAGCTGTGTGTGCGGCCGACGACGCCGACTCAGATGTAGAAGACGTCGTCGTCGTCGCTGTCGTTCTCGCTGTCGCAGGAGAGGAGTGGCGTGGGCGGCAGACGTGGCGCACTGCGCCGCTGGTGCTCCACGGGGCGGAGGGACTGCCGACTCCGACTCCAGCGGACAAACTGTGACGAGAGACACGGGAGGGGTCAGTTAACTGAGGCAGGATGGAAGTGATTTTTGACATTTGACAAGTGATTTGAAGTGACAGTTGATGAAGCAAGACGGTCACTGGTCAATCAGTTCACGATACAGGAGTGCCTGATTAGCTCATTTGGGAGCAAATCGGATCTTAGATTAGTGTGTAGTGTGTACCTACTTGCTGAATGTATATTGGATGTTGTAACTGCACCATAAAGATGTCCACTTTTCGATTAATAAATTGAAAGTATTGTGCCTCTGAAAAAGCGGTCTGTTGGCTGCCCAGTGACAGGCCGAGAGCAAAAATCCAATAAACCTTTTTTCCTAATATAAGAAACAACAAAGGGAAGAACGATCTTCATCACTTCCATAGGAAGGGTTCGGGAATCTCCCGCGCCTTATATCAACTGTCGCGAGCAGATTACTCACCGATTGCCGGACGGGAAACTCTCGGCCGGTACGCGGCGTCAGTGCCACCTTCTTCCGCATGATGAGGCTGTAGTCGGAGACGTCGGGGAACTCACGCTGCAGCGCCAGCGGACAGTCGTCCTCGTGCAGTTTCCGCTCGTATTTGAGGTTGTTACACATCTGGGAGAGAATGGGGTGGAGTTATAATTTGGACCGGCTGTGATTGGGTAACAGGAGACCGTGCTAACAGCACATGAGGTGTTGCCTTTGTGGTCACATTTCTCACCAGAAGTAATATTTCTCTCTCACCAAAAGAGATGTTTCAAAGCTTGCAGTTTTACTTTGCGAATTATAAAACTTATGGCACGCGATAGCATCATTGCGAAATTATGCAATAAATCATCAGATACCGTGATCCGCTTACACAATATGATGACTTCGTTTGGCATCTGATAGCCCGTTATTCGACAACCATAACGCCGCCATCACAAATCCGATGTTTAGACTTAACTGACAGCCCACTCACCTCGTACAGCGAGTACCCGCTGGGGCTGTCATCGGAGTCGTAACAGTTGAGCAGCAGCTGGATCACCTCTCTGGCCGTGGTCCGCTCCGAAATCATCAGACTTTTGTAGAGCGACTGCAACAGAACGACGTCCAATTAGAGCCGGTGCAGACGGCCGTGGCTGGACGCTGGTGTGGACAGAGGCGGTCGTGCCCGGTCGGGACGGGATTTCGGGGAAGTTTTACGTCTGTGTTCCATTCCATGGTGACCAGAGACAGGTTAAGGCGGCTGTGGGTCACGACGCTAAGATAGGGATCGGCTAGTGACCGAGAACAATCAGAATTTAACGTCGGTACAATGCTGGGGAAATCGAGAATTAGTCAGAAAAATCGTGGCTGCCTGAGAGTTCTGATTATTGTGGATAGAATGGGAATATCATATTCAGAGAAGTGGTATGACAGAGCAGATACTTACCCCGGCCATGAGGATGCTGTCAATGACCTTCACCGCTCCGCCCGGGCGCGGTCGCACTATAAACCTGCAACAGACGAAAAACGTCAGCTGCGTGCGGTAGGGATCGGCGGCAGACATGGCGGTACCTACACGATCTGCAGTGAAATATCTGATAAGGAGTGTACGCGATGACGGGCGATAAGTACTGCAAGACAAAAGCGCCGGATGCTGTCAGTTGAAAATATTGACAGTTTCGTGGGAATGTAAACGCCGATGTAATTAATAGTTGACAACCAGGTGCAAGTCTATCAAATCGCCTTTTGCTCAATAGCGGTGGGTTTTCCAGTACCACATTAAATGCATCATATAATAGGTATATATATGTGACCTAAAATTATGCATCATTGGCTATGTTAGTGTGCGGCCACCAAGTGTAATCAGGCAGTTTAGGATAGAAAATAAGGCAAGTCTACTTATTTTCTTTGAATGCCAGAAAGTCCCAGTCATTTTTTTTTTATACATGAGAGCGACTCGGGTCGCTTAGCTGAATGGCTCAGTGGTAGCAGCATGCATGGGAATAAGGTGAATCATCCTCGCGGTCGTGCCACGCCGCTCGACTCCTCACAGGGAATCCTCCAAATCTCCCTACCGGACGTACCGGCGAGCCGAGCCACAGAGCTAAACGGTTCTGTCCATCCCTCGGCGGACACTGTTCAGATCTCAGAACTCCCGACCTGTGAGCCCGACAGCCAATTCAGCGCCGTCTTGAACGTTCCGCATTGCTGCTGATCCTTCCCACCCGACTTAACTTCATACCGGCGTGGCATGGGATTTACGCGGGCACTTTGACCTGGCTAAGCCGAATCTGGAGCTACCTGTGGTCACGCCACCGTGTGCCCGCCTTCCGGTACCGGTCAGCGCCGTCCGCCGCGCCGGTCGGTCACTTTTTGCACGGTTTTTGTTTGGAGACACGTGACGTATCACGGTCGAACGGAGCGTGCTCAGCGGTCAGGAGCAATGGCGACCGACGGCAGCACGCAGAGACGGTCACCGTTACTATGGAAACGGGCGTGGCCGGGAGACGTTTCCGTGCTTTGCTTTACGATTTTCTGGCGTGATTCGCTCGTCCCTGACTCTCCTTCCTTTGTCAGAATCTCTGCCTATCCGGTTACATGATCAATGGAGAGTCACTTCTTATGTAGGCATAGAGTCCAATGAGAACTTCTCCTTGTTGCAGAGCGATCTGACAATCTCCGGGTAACTCAGTACCAGGAGCTTGTGCTTAGCCGGAGTGATACAAACACCGACTAGAATGTCGGCATTATGAGGCCTTGTTGTGCCACCTGGTGTGGCACTGTCCGGACTTCATGGCCGGGCACCCTGAGAGGATCGGCTCCCGGATATGCATTCCACCGCGGCTCTTTTCCTGTGGTCTGTTCCACTGGTTTTCTTTGGAGGTGTGTAGGTGTACCGGCATTCGCCTGTGGTCTGTACATGTATAGACCACAGGTTTGTAACTTTGAGGTGTACTGACAGACTAAACTGGTGGTTATATGCTAGTTCTAGCTTTTAGTGCCGTTATTTATTCGTTGGGGCTGAATAGATGGTTTCTTTTCGACTGCGTCTACACTTGAGTCATTTATGCTCTTAACGTTATTACAATAGCCTTTTATCTGACCTCCCACATGCAGCTGTGACGGCGTTCTATTGTTTTCGCCTGTGTCTCTCTATATCGTTCCCATCTAACCTGGAGTCAGCGCGTGGGTAGCAGGCCTGCAGCTGGGCCGGGCACGCGTCGTCATCTAGATCCAGCACCGTCTGTACCGTGGCACCTGAAAAAGAACAAACCAACGGTCACAATAGAACCACAGCGGGATAATCGGTCACTGGTCTCATCAGAGGCTGGTCTTGGGTCAGCGGTCTGGGTCGCGGTGGTCCCACTGAGGTCAAAGATAGTGAGGTCAACATCGGGTCAGCGTCAGGGTGGTGTCAGGTCAGTCCCATCATTAGCGAAAAAGTAGCACGAGCGGTGCTGACTTCCGCTTCTGGTGGTCGCTGCCGGAGCGGTGCTCACTGTGGCCGGTCAGGAGGTAGTCCATTGCTGACCTAGTAGGAGCGTCCCAAGGATGCCATCAACTGAAATAAAGCCTCCCCAGAATGACCTTCCGCCTGCCTCGGCGGATCCTCGGCCGGCCCGCGGCTGACCTCTGTGTGAGCCGCGACCGACCCATGGCTGACCCCAGGTCACCGCTGATCGGTGTGTGAACCGTACCGCCCCGACCGGCCACACCGAGTGACAAACGGGTTCCGGTGTTTTGCGGGCGGAGTCCTACATTCGCGGCGAGGGCCGCATTCCGCGCCGTGCTGGCGGCCGCAGTCGAGTGCGGTGCGGTGCGGTACGGACGCTGAATCATGGTTCGTCACCGGTCTGACCCGCTGTCTGTGTGCGGTCGATGAACAGGTCGAGTAGGTTCCAGAAGAGTTGAGTGGTGTTGAGGAGAGTCGAGTAGAGTTAAGAAGAGTTGAGTCGAGTGATGTCGATTGTCGAGTGGTGTCGAATCGATCAAGTGGAGTTAAGTGAGTCCAATCAACTCAAGTGGGTCGCGTTGGATCGAGCGTAGTTGAGAGGAGAAAAGTCTACCGAAACCCAACCCAGCCAAGCCCAGGTAACTTGAGTGAAGCGAAAAAAGTGAAAACGAAATGCATACATGATGGTGTGGCGGTCGTCGTAATTTCACTATACTCGCCTCTGAATATATGCATGATGACTGCCCGCAGCGGTAGTTTCCACTTAGCACCATGCCGAGATTTCACTCATGTGAAGTCGTTTATCACCATTAACGAGTTTATAACTCATATCCATTTCCGAAAAGAATGATTAAAACGCCTGACCAACGTTGGCGATGCGTTGAATGAAGATAACCCGAGCGTGATATTTCTCATCTTTATTCGTTTCCGCTCATAGCTATTTAAACCCGACAGCCTCACGCCAGCCTTCACATCACATACAATTATACAAAACCGCAGCGAAGATAATTCCATCACACCTTGTTACTCAATTGACTCCGGTTACGAAACGGTTTCCGACCGGACAGAGCTGTCTGTCGCGACGGCGGCTGACCCAGCTCCGCTGCTGAGTTCCGGCGAGCGGAGAGGCCGCGGCGCATTGCGTTACACGGATGCGAGACGGGTCCGGCCGCTGGCCCCTGTGTCAACCTCAGCGTTCCATCATTCCATGTAAGTGATTCCCGCTATTGTGGTCGATGTTCCTGGTCAGCTCAAATGCCAGGGTCGGTCCGACAACATCGTCCAGTACCGACATGATATCAGCATCGATCCCCGCGACATTTCTAATCAGCATCTCATTTGCCGTCGCATACCAGCGGTGCCTCGTGCCGTGTCACCTCACGGTGTGTCAGCCGGTGTCAACACTCGACATGTGCTGTGTCAGAGCTCTGCGAACTGACACCAGCGTTCCAGGCAGCGGTGAGCGGCTTTAGTGGGGTCAGGGAGAAACCCCACGCGGGGACCGGTAGCGGCCACTGCGGTCGGTCCGCTGCCGGCTGACAGGGGCCGTCCGTCAGAGCGGCGGCAGAGGCCGAACGATGCCCCCGGGCGCGTCTGATACATGTTCGATAGCTACGTCATCCAGTGAGCTCATCCCACCGCGTGGCGGTCACAGGGTCGACCGGTGGAGAAGTTCCTCTCCGAGATGTTCAGAAGACACTCTGAAAGTGATAAAGAGTCGGACGACCGCCCAGACCGCTGTCGCCCAGCAGTTTATTTTACTTATTCTCCATCGCCGACGCGACCCTACTGGTTGTTTGACGGATTTCCATGCAAGACGATTATGACAATGATTAATGTATTGCTCATCAGTTCCGCTGACCTGTCCCCAGCGCCAGCACGCGCGTCTATCATCTCCCTGTCTCGGCTGACCGCTCCCATCGGCGGCCGTCGTCTCTGAGACATCCCCCCAGCAGTGCGTCATAACTAGCTCCAATCGATGAGTCGTCGATGACCTGTCGACCTTTCCATCTCTCCCCGGTGACCTAGGTGAGGCATAAGTCCGTCATCTCTTCCAGTTATTAGTTCGCTAGGTATCCCAGCCGTCAGATATGATCGTGTACGAATTTTCATTGGAAACATCTGGGTCATTGTCGACACGCCTCATTGATTAAATCGGAACAATGCTGAATATAAAACACCTGTCTTGCTAATATCTCTAGCCTTGCTGCCTAACCATCCGTGCAAGGATCGATGATTGACCTAAAATTCAATTGCAGCTCGTCCACGAAGTACAATGGCTCTTTTGTATCTCCGATTCATGACATCGGAGCGCTCGGACAGCACGTACTAATTGCATTCATAAGCAGCACAGACACCACGTCTGCGCGTAGAAAGCTACGAACTTTCTGCTCGCAAAACATGGCACCGTTTGTTGGCACCATTCACAGACAGATTAGCGGCGAAATGGCCGGCCGACGTTCACCGGCAAAACATCGCCCGCGTGACTTTTGACCCAGAGCTGTGAACTTCCGGTCATTTGGCCAGCAGGGGTAGCGCGCGCAGCCACATATGTGGGCCAGCGGAGCACCGGAAGTAGACTACTTCCGGCGCTGCGCCCGTCACACGCCCTGTGCGCCGGCGGTGCAGGTACGGCGGATTGCAGGGGGTGGTGCAGGACCAGGGTCTGTGGCAGTGCCGGGGGCAGTGGCCGCCAGTTCACCGCCGAGGCCGCTCGCCAAAGCCGGTGTCACGGAAAGGGGTCGTGTTCGGGGCTGAGTGCGGGGTGTGGGGAGGTGCAAGGCCGACTTCAACTGCCGGGGTGAACAGCCGAGAATGCATTACCAGGGTCGGAGGCGAGGAAGGTTTGAGCTGCGGCCGTATACAATAAAGACACCACCACGCCGCAACATTGTAAAAGCCCGGAACTTTCGTGACTTCCTATGATACTTATGCGTGGTCAATTACCATCATTCGTTACAATTATCAAGAACATTGCCGTAGTACCTATAGGATAGAGGATCCGTAGGTAAAATATAATTAACAAAGACTGAGTTAATAAGTACTGAACTATCGCAAGGCTACCGTTTCAGCTATATCATCCGCCAGTGTGCCCGCGGGATCGAACTGACCTGCTCCTCGTGTGGCCACCTCCAGACTGATGTTGTAGAGTTTCGGGTCGCGGTGTTTGAGCCGGTACTTGGCCAGCAGTTGGCGGACGATCTCTCCGCAGGTGGTGGTGTACTTGACACTCATGGTGCGGTACTCGAGGTCGGGCCGAATACAGCGCGTGTAGAGCCGCAGCGTGGCCTGGCGGAGGGTGATGAGGTGGGCGTTATGACGGGTTCCACAGGGTCTGACCGGCGTCAGACGACGCGACAGGAATAAACACCGAGTCTGTCTGGCGGCGTGTGAGAGCACTCTGTCACTCAGCACAGCGATGTTCCACGTCGAGTGCGTGCAAGAACTGTGTCATTTATCTAACGAATTACATTCACCGTGACATTTATTTACAGTTAGCGGACGACGGAAACCTTCCCAGGCGGCCGTGGTGTTTACAATATCCCTAATTCCCTCACACACACTGAGCGTTTGGAGCCCTAACCGACCGTGACATTCGAGCCTCACGGCGTCCCCGGGGAGGCACGCTCCCCTCGAAAGCTCCCACGCGCTCCACGCTCCCCGCACGCCGCGGCGCTGTTCCCATAGCGCGACAAACAAACGGGCCGTAACGCAACGCCGAGCGCCAACACGACGACGTCGTATTGTCAACGCAACGTCAACTTTAGCTTGTCTGGTGGGGGCTAACTACTACAGCTAACTAGGTAGGTGTGTGGCTCGGCGCATCTCGGGATAGCAAGTGTCAATAAAATACAGGACAGGGCCAGCGCCCAATTAGGAGCAGGGAAGGGTTGATTAGACGGTCGGGTGAGTTTGTATGATGCAGGACTGGGCTGGTTAGCTCCTGGGAAGGGTCATGGTTTAGGCGCGGCGAAGCGGACTAGAGGGAGTGGGAGTGCGTTAATATTGGATAGCCCAGCCTATGGGAGCGCCGAGATAACTTTTCCCACATGCAGGGGTGTGTGTCCAGTGGTCTATGTGTGACGCACGTTGTGAGAGGAGTGGTGTGAGACAGTGCAGGTGAGGCCAGCATATACGACTGATTCTGTCAGGGAGTGCCTTCCAGTGACTCAGACCGACGTGGAATGCTGGACAGAGTGGTACTTCGTGGGATTAATGAGCCGTGGTGGATTAAAATTGAGTCATCTCGCATGGATGTGTGCTCACTTGTAGCGAAAAATGCGAAAAGGAGATAAAAGGGAAGGAGCTAATATTTGTGAAAATTTATGCGCAGTTCCACCGGTTTGTTTACGTTTTTGCCAGACTGGCCAAATTACATGTACCCATGAAGCCCTTTGATAGAAACAAATTACTTGTGGAATAATTCCATTCGCCTCTATGACTGCGTGTGGTCCTGTCAGTGTCGAAAGGGTAATGATGAATTGAGAGGCACACCACAAAACACAGCACATGCATACTGGCGGACCGTGGGCGAACAAAAAGTCACCACCCAAAAACAGTGGGCAAGAAGCGTTCATCCCAAATGATGCTGTTTTTAGGCAGCGTTTCCTGTGGAGCCGCGGTAGCTCCAACTATCACTATCCAATCATTTGAATTCTGTCAGCGATGGCTGACTTCTGTGTGTTTTTAGGGCTTAGCAACAGGCCACACATGTATATGCATCCCACCGATACACCTATCCCCTCCAAGTCGAGTTAATGATGGAGTAAATCCATGCCCTGAGTGTTACCTCGGTGAGTGTTACCTCAATAATTAACTCAAATTGCTGGCTAGCTCAGCTCGCTGGTTAACACAACTCCATAATAAGACGAACTGCACTCACCGTGGGTGTGTCGGGCACGCTGGCGCTGCCCGTGCTGCTCAGTGTATCATTCAGCGACGTGTAGGATGACGAGCGCGACGACAGGGTGCCCTCGAAGTGTCCGAGCGCCTGGCGCGCCCTGACCGCGTCCCTGACCAGCTCGCGCGGCGTGGAGCGGGAACGGGGCGACCGGCGCGGACTCAGACTGCCCGAGGAGGACGAGGACACACTTGGAGTGTCCGAGCGCTGGCTGGAGCGCGCCCGGGAGCTCCTTAGCGTGCTGAACCCGCCGCGGAACGAGTCGACGTCCCCCTTCAGCGCGGCGCGCAGAGGACTGAAGTCGCGGGAGGAGCCCACGCTGATGGTGTCGAACTTGTGGGCCAGGGAGCCGCGTGCTGGGCTGTGGCCGCGCGAGGAGTCGGTGCTGGAGGTGTCTGGGGTAGCGCGCGGCGCGCGGCTCAGGGTGGAGCGCAGCGGGCTGTAGCTGCGCCCCGAGTCGATGCTGACGGTGTCTGCCGTGCGGCCGGCGCGGGCCAGCGTCGAGCGCCGCGGGCTCGTCTGCACGTGCTTCAGCATTGTCCTGCGAATGGGGAGAGGGCGATGATCAGTTGGATGGTGGGTGAGGATTGATCTAATAAGCTACTAATCTTGCGCCTACGGGTAACAAATACATGCACTGTTGTTTCCTCCATGCATTGTTGTTTACAGTGCAACACAGTAAATAATACGGAAACATAAATAATCACACTATCCGCGCCGCCGATATCTTCATATTTTTATCCGGTGACCTGTTTGATCGTCATCGACACTGTTAACAGCTCCTATGTTCTATTTTGGATTGCACCACCAAGTTTTCAATGGCTTGTTTACACATTCAGACCGCTTGTCACCGTCCAATTATACCTCGGATCTTAGCAGATAGCGACATGTAACATTGTGTAATTGTGAACATAGTCAGTGGGAATATACAATTTTATGAATTGGAGCCAATAGTCAGGATGTAAATTATTGTGTAAACATTGTCACTTTCGACTTAGACAGTTGTCGGGATTTTTAATTTTCCAGTTTCCACGCCTTCAGTCACATATGAATCATAAATTTAGCACGGCTGAAGTTCCACCCGAGAAAGTGGCCCGTTCTTTGTGCGTCCGTCACGAATTTGAAAAGCAGCATCAAAAATATAATTGCGCGCCACGTGCGTTACGCCATCGATGTGACGCCCTGTGCGCGAAAGGCACTAACGAACCGGCCACTTCCTGCTCTTCTCAATGCAGGTGAAAGTGAAGAAAAGGAAGCACATGAAATAGACGGCCGATCGAACTCCGGTTATCAGCTCGGGATCTCACGGCGCCTTTTGTGGTGCATTCACGGGTATCTCACGCTTCCCAGATGACGTAAGCTGAGGTACAATGCTGTCTCGAAGTTTCCACAGCTCAGTACGCAGATATTCGGAGCTCGTATGCATATCATTACCGATGGCCCGGCGCTGCGGTTTTGTAATACCTCCTCTCGGACCCTTTGAAGAAAACTCGGTAACGGCTCGGCACGCGCCTTTGATGGCCAACAAATGACCTCGGAAGGAGCAGCGGGCGCCGGGGCACAAACGTAGCGGAGACGTCAAAGGTATGATTGATCATCGCGCCAGTCGGGCGCACAATTGTGTCTGGATTTATCAGGCGCGCTGCATCGTTACGCCGCCTTTGGATGAGACGTTCTTCAGCAGATGATACGACTTGTATCGCACGATAGATCGGCATTTCTGCAAGGAGAATGGATGACGAGCCGCGCAAGCGCAGCCCATTGTGAACCACCTCTGAATGGGGTCAATGTCGGGTCCGCGTCAAATGGAAATGACGGACGGGTTGGTCAGACAGAAATTGGACGACTAGCAGAGAACTGGACAGTTGAGTGGGTGTTGTAGTCATGTGACGCGTTGCAGTCGTTTTGACGAAGCCGTGACAGGTTGAACATCGGTTATTATTATTATCGGTCATTACCATTACCTAATGTTATATCATGCATGCGTTTGCTGCCATCATGAATGAAAGGTGACCCCAAGTTGGAATATTCATTTGGTTGGTGTCTATTATTAGGGTTCCACTAAATAGGTACATACCTATAGTGCAAGGAGAAGCGTGAAACAGTGAATTCAAGCGATGAACCAAATGTTTAATTCTTCAGTAAAGCAAATGTCGTGACACGTAAATGCCTCAGAAACCAGCTCTACCTATATGAGTATGCTTGACTGACATAAGTGTAGAATGCTTGAATTATGCGGATATAGCATACGACGCGAAGCATTATAATATCAATTCTACAAAAAGAAAAATTAACTCACCTTTAACCGTCCGATCGGATGGCTCCCGAATCTCCACGCAGAAGTCGCCTCCTGTCTCACGCCGCCCTCGGTTCGCTCTCGTGTGTATCACTCTCTGCACTCTCACCGCCAGCCCAGCGCTCACCTCTCACCCTCGTCACCGGTCTGCCACTGACTCACTGCAAGGCTATACTCACTGCCGGCCGCCCAGCGCCGCTCAGAGCAGCGGCTCTGGAACTCCGCCGACGTCACGCGCCCGCCGACCAATCACAGGCCGCGCCGGGCGCCGGAGTCGGCGTGTGACGTCACACAGCCGCCGGTCGTGACGTCACGCACACAGGTGAGACGGCGATTTCGGTGGCCCCGGGTACCGGATCTGTGCGTCCGGTGGCTGTAACGTCACAGACCGGGAGCCACCGGAAGATCCGGGGCGGGACGAGCCCAAAATTCGACCGGATCAGCTCTCAACCCTATGTTTCGAGTGGGTGAATTGATGTTTGCTTGCGTTTTTACTGCGCAGCGCTGTCGTAACAAGGTGAGACATACATTCCGTCTCGTTTCGTCATCGTACCAACACATGCGAGTTCATAGTAGCCGTTTACACGACGGGCTATAGCCGTCGTGAAAACGGCTTGTGTTTCTTTAAGTTGTCAGTTTGGGTTGCGCAGAATGCAGATGATAGACCCCATTTTTTTAAGTTTTCGGATTATTTTGGATTGAAGCACTGGAATAGATTTATAATATGAAGATTAAAAATATTTGTTGTAAAAGAGATTTGGTGCAGATTTGGTGAAACTAGGTGCATTCGCCAGACATCCTAACGTGAAAACGGCTACAATGAATCACAATGTATGTATATGTCATTGTCGTAGGCATCGGGTGAAATCCGGCATTTCATGAAATGTCTAGGCATTGCATGGAATGCGGGCAAAAACTGAAATCTTCGTAGAAATACGGGCGTTACAGCGAATGTCTGAAAATTTTAGGCTTTTCATGAAGTGCCAGGCGGAGGCCAGGCACTCCCTGAAATATGGTCAAAACCAATTGAGTTCACTCGTTGCCTAGGCATTACATGAAATGCCCGACTGACGGCCGGCACTTTCTGAAACGATTACCGCAGCGAGAACGGACCCCGGGCCCCGGACCCCCGGTTGGATGGGGCCCGGACCTCCGGGAGAACGGGACCGGGCCTCCCGGAGAACGGGCCCAGGCCCCCGGGAGAACTGGCCCGGGCCCACGTGGATGGGTCCGGGCCCCGAAAGAACGGGCCCGGGCCTCCCGGAGAACGGGCCCAGGCCCCCGGGAGAACTGGCCCGGGCCCCCTGGGTGGATGGGGCCCGGGACCCCGTAGATGGGTGCGGGCCCCCGGGAGAGCGGGCCCCGGGCCCCGGGTGGACGGGGCCCGGACCCCTAGTGGATGGGGCCCGCGCCCCCGGGAGAAGGGGGCCCGGGCCCCCGGATGGATGAGGCCCGGGCCCCCTGGTGGATGGGCCCCGGAGCCCCGAGTGGACGGGGCCCGGGTCCCCGTGTGGATAGGGCCCGGGCCCCCGGTTGAATGGGGCCCGCTAGGGTGACCCGCTTGCTCCGCAACGCGAATAAGGGGTATTTTCGATCGGTGGGCGTTTGGCTGGTCTCGTGTCCGTGGATTATGTATCACGATCCGTGAAATATCTCGTAGCGTTAGCCCATTTTACACCAATACGATAACGTCCCTCCCCCTCCCGATCGCCGGCGTGTATATGCACACAACCGTCCGCGTACGAAAAGTTTTGTTACAGAGAGTGCCGGTCGTCTTTTGGGCAATCCATGTAATGCCTAGGCAAGGCGTGTACTCAGTTAATTTTGACCATATTTCAGGGAGTGCCTGGCCTCCGCCTGGCATTTCATGAAATGCCTAAAATTTTCAGGCATTCGCTGTAACGCCCCTATTTCTACGAAGATTTCAGTTTTTGCCGGCATTCCATGTAATGCCTAGGCATTTCATGAAATGCCGGATTTCGCCCGATGCCTACGACATATACAATGTATAATTAGACCAAATCTGCACCGAATGTGTACCAGATGGCCGTCGTGAAAACGGCTGGTATAAGTATATACCTATAGGAAAAGGGTGAAAAACTGTTAATTCGTTGCTTGAATTCCCTCAAAATCTTGCAGGCACTGGTAGTTAATTTCACTGAGTACCGGGTGTCCCAAAAGTAAGGTCATCATTTGTTTTGGCCACACTGCCAAAAATACGCGATGGATAGATATAAATAGGACATCATATGAAAGAGCATTTTATAAAATTTTATTCTGACATACATATGAGTCAATACATTGGCTCGTAGCCCCACATTTGCTGCTTTTCTACATGGCTACCATTTTGGGCCGCGTGCATGAATAGACTACGTTTGACTTCCTCCACTATTCTGGAGCGATTCTCTGGTGAGATGCCGCCTATGTTTGCTCGAAGGGATCATCCTTTAGTTCTTCCCGGCTCGTTGGGTTGTCCTAAAGACAATCTTTCTGTTGTGTATCCAGAGAATAAAAATATGAAGGTGTAACGTCAGGTGACCGCGGAGGCCATTCAATGGCGTTGCCCTGACTGAAAATTACGGGATCTCACATCCACTCTCGGAGACAATGCATGATCTTCAGGACGGTGCAAGCATAGTCTCCATCCTGCTGAAACCACTGCTGGCTGATGGTGTCGGCACAGCTGCGTTGCGACGAGCGGAAGAACCAGTGGGAGGACTTTCGGCCACCTCACTTGATTTATTGTCACCCGATTCCCGCTGTCGTCCTCAGGACCTCGAAGCACACGTGGCTAAGTATACATGCCCTGTGCGTACATTATACCTTTTTTCTGACGTTTTACCGGTTGAGGCGAAACTATGCATGAGTTCAGAGATAGGGCGAGCTGATAGGGTCTGCTTAGGGCCGAAAACTGGGCGGTATTTACCCTTTGTTTTAATGACGGACCCTCTCTAAGAGTTGAATTTCGACCTTCTCAGTTTTATGCCTACTGCTCGGTGTAGTTATGATCAAAAATGGTTTAAGCATGCAAGAAAATAATTCTATGGATGTACATTGCACGTGTTAAAATTGGAAGTCATTCGGACTCTTACTTCTCGAGATATTTAAGTTTTAAATCATGACCTTACTTTTGGGACACCCGGTATATCACATATCGTCTTAAAGAGTTCTGAAACTAGGTATTATTTGCCGTCTCAGATAAAGATTTGGACCAAAAAATGTAGGCAAAAGGCAAAGTATTCAGTAGCATTTCAGACCGAGAGACCAGGGGGACTGCGGTGAATGTTTTTATGGCAACAGGCAAATAACTGCTAAGCACATTTATCTACCTTCGCTGACTGACATTTTGACAGGACAAAGTGCAATATGTGCATACATAAGATGGCTACTCACTCGTTGCATGTCAGCGGTAGGATATACACTCGGTACATATTTACAGTGATCTGTCCTCGCGGCACCTCGCGTGGCAGATCGCAAAAACAAAACATAAATAATGCCCCTCTAGGTGTCAACACTGCCACAGAAAATCGCAAATAACAGGAAATGTTTGTCCTTAAGTAAGGCGTCTGCCCGGTTCTTGGATACAGAATTGATAAAAGAGGTCATTGTATTACAAGAGGACGTCCTTGTAACTAGCTGCAGTTTGATAATACATTTCGTATTAAAAACTTTAAAGCAGATGTAAATTCATAACAAAAATGTTTGTTATGGTGGACCATATCCACCATGACAATGTATAGGTACGCACTTACCTCTGTCGGTAGTATATGTAGGTAGACATCAAGTACCACTTTTACTTC